CAATCATATAAACTTGTGAATTTCATAGATATGTGAGAAATTAACAACAATGGAGGTACTTGCCAACCAATAAAATAAAGGTTATGAAAAATAAAGAGGGAAAAAGAAATAATTCATAGAAAATTTGTAGGGTTTGAACAAAGCTTTTTTTAGACTAATCTGGTTTGTATTCATGGTCGATTGGTGCTTAATAAACGCATGATTGATGTGAAGTTAATATGCATGATAATTTAAAATTCAAATTTCTTAAAACCAATTTTTTTTTCTTGGAAAACGACAAAATAAAAGATCTTTTAGATTTTAATGTTGATCAAATCTCAAATTTAGATAGATTCTCTGACTTCCTTCTTCATATAGTGAATTTTCTAAAACATTATATAAGACAAAAATGCTGAAGTTATTTTTATTTCTAGACTTTTAGAAATTATTGTTTAAACTATCAGATAAAACGTTCTTACATACATAAACATCGATTTAATGTCATCATGACCATTTGATATCATTAAATAAAAATCACGATCAAATGGTAATATAGAATTGGTAAAAAATATCGTAGATTCTCTCAAAAGATGACAAGCACGATGTCCAAAAACAAGTATTAAAAATACATAAATTGATCGGTTGAAAAGAATTAGACGCAAATATTAGTAAGAGCAGAAAATAACAAATTTTTTCGCTGTAGTTTTTCTTTATTTAAATTGGAATAAATAGACATACTTTGAACCTATAAAAATTGCCCATGTGAACCATAAAATTTCTTGCACTAAATGTTCAGATATATATTTCTCATTATCAAATATAGATTAAACAGAAGAATTTTAACTAAAGATCTAGAAAGCCTTGATTATTAGTATGACGGATGTAATTGCTTGAGGCAAAGATCAATAAAAGTGATCCTAAAAGATCAGATATCAAGCTAAAGATATTACATACGTGTACCCACGATCTTATAGATCTATACGCAAGATCTTACAGATCTGAGCCTAAGATCTTACGAATATATAGCCAAGATCTTGCTTACAAGATGTTCGACAACGGTAACAGTATAGTGTGTCCTAAAAATCCCTTCCTAAAAGTTTTTTCGTTGCATTTTACTATTGACTGGACTTCATTGACTAATTTTTTTTTTTGAATAATAGATAAATGTACAGAGTTTTTATTTCTAAAGACAAATTCCAAAAGCATTGTTGAAAATTAAGACATTTAACCTGAAATACAAAAATTTAGTCTGTTTTCTCTTTCCGAAAATCCTCATAGATGATATATATTCTAATTGCTTGAATTTTGATTTCGTACTACCCATTTTGTTTTTGTCAAGACACATTGAAAAAAATTCTGTAAAAAGGCCGTTCCAGTATTGGACAATTTAAAGATTTGAATCACTCAACAATTCGAAGTTATTAAAAAAAGAAGTGCAATCTAATGTTTTTCTAGAAAAAGAAGACAAACTGAATTTTTGTATTTCAGCTTAGTGAAATGGAACGGGCAACTTTTAGGACGGAACTTTTAGAACACACTGTATAAGTGAGGCATTGTCGTCCATTCGTTCATATTACGATCGAGAATCAATTGTTTTACTAGTAGAAACAAGATAATTTCAAAAAGATTTTCGATAAGAAAAAGAAAAGTGAAAGAAGAAAAACAAATAAAATAACCTTACTGCAGTATTCGTTTCAATTGCTACATGCAATTTTTTTTGATCAAATCATTTAAAACTGGAAAGAAAAGAAGGAAAATTGTATGTCGTTCTTGAGATATATTATAAGTTTGTTTAATGTGAATTTGATCACTTAATTTTCGATTGAATATTTCTAATTCTTTAGTTAAATAAAAATTATTTTAAAATAGAATGAACAATAAAAGAGTGACCTTGTTTATAACTCATTTGTGCATGAATTGAGCCATTTAAACATACTGTCGACATGTTCATCTTTACGAAGTAATGTTGATGAATTGGTGATGAACGAAACAAATGATTCAAATGGACAAAAGCAAATAGATGAGTTAGTGGTTGAGTTGATCATTGATGAGTCATCAAATCAATATCCAATGAAAAATCCAATGATGCATTTAAAATGAAACTCATTTTGAAAAGCTCATGTTTGTAGCATACGAAGTGGATATCATTATCAGAGATTATTTATGATGTTAAACTCTTTTGATAAAATATAATCATAAAAATGAACTAAAATCAAGAAGTTGATGTAACGACATCTTTTATTTGTATTGCTTTTCAAGAAAAATCGGATGTACTGTTATGAAATTGCGACTGTAGGATGTAGCGCCATTATTTGTGTGAAAATCATCTGCCGCAAGCGTAAAATATATAGCTGCTGAATATACCTTCTGGTTTCTTACATTATTGTCACAATTTCATTCTGACTGTTCCATCCGAACTTGGCTTCGCCTTTCGTACTACGAAAAAAAATCAAGGAGTTTTGCACGATGATAAAGAACTATAAAAAGTTCCCTATCAGAAATGCTGAACCTATCCAGGTCAAATTCTCCCTGCTGGATCCTATCCGATCAGATGCCTTCCGACTGTCGAAAACTATCATTATCCGTTGATTTGGGTGTGGGTGTTAGCATAAGTTAAGAAAAGAGGCGCCCACATCCACACCCACACTCCATTCACCCTATACAAATATGGAGCTTTCGAATAACATTTGCATGAAAATCGTACGACTCTCCGATCTTTAGGATATCGCGACACAAAATAGCTATTTGAGTAAAAGATTGAGAAAGTAAAAAAAAATCTGCGAACAATTACTATACAGTGCTTCATGCCGTAACTAGATGATATTTGCGTGAAACTCGAATACGAAAAGCGGTGCAAAGCATGAAATCTAGATTTTCGACAAAAAACGATATTTCATAAAAATGAATAATCGACTTTACGATTTGTCAAAAATTGCTTTGTTTTTCTAAATGATCTTTACGTTTTACTCAAATGGGGGTTTTTTGTTTGCGCATGTGAATTTTAAAATTTACGTTTCGGCCGACTAGCTGATTGAAGTAGAAAAGTGATTGAAAGGCAGATATGGCGAAATTTATCACTAGGACAACTATATAAAATCATATCAACATATTTCTAAAGAACGATATCGATTGATCATTTAATTATCTACATGATTCATTATCTATAATCAGCTGTATTCACAGCTGTTTTAGCTATAAGTAAATAGAGGAATGTCATAGACAAGATTGAGAAAAAACTGCTTTCAGTTCGATCTCGACACTTTCACCTAACGTTTGAAGAAATATTTTTTGACTTGCCATTCTCGAGAGCACTGCGACACAAAATGCCAACTTTTTATGCGTACGTCTCTGAGACTGTCACAGGGCACTTTTTTTGCCCTGGTCTGTCCTCGGGGCCTATTAACTCAATTGACTATGGAATGGGTTGTTAACCTTATGAAAAATTTTGTTCTGGTTTATACTCCATGCTCGTGCCTTTCTTTTTTTTTTTAATAAAATTTCAAAAGAATTTTATCCAGAGAAAGAAACAACCATTAATTCAGCTAAAAATCGATTGAAATTGTGCAATTTTTAATCGATTATAATCTGGTTTTAAACTTCTATTTTGTTTTGTTTTTCCAATTTCGAGGATTTTTCCATTTTTTTTCAAGTGAAATTCATTAATAAATTTCAATTAATAAAAATTAACAAGTCTTGTTAATCGATTAGGAAAAATTCAAAAGAAAATGCTTGAGAATGAAGACGAACAATCGCAACGACTAAGACTCAGGTTATAATCGGATAAAAATGGTCTTGTTATGACTTGTTCTTGATGAAGAAATAACACTTGTTGATTCAATATCTTCCATTTTTTTTAGCATGAGTACACGACACTAATAGCATATCCATTGAAAACAAATTATACATCAATGAAAATAACGATTCTTCAGTAAGGCAACAATGTTGTTTGCTGCTTGTATTCATTATTCGATTAGTCATATTAAAAATTAAGAAGAGTGAACAAGATACAGGAGGCATCAGTAAAACTTGCATATGTTTTTTGTTTAAATATTAACAATGTCTGATATGCCTAACAGAAAAATTTATGTAATTCTTTTTATGTTAGATTTCTTATTTTCGCGTATTTTTCATTATGTGACTTTATTATTAATCGAAGTGAAGATGATTATCTGAAAATTAGCCCATCTATCAACTGTGTATATGTACGTTTGGAAGTGCATCTCACCAAAGTATCGCTCCGAGTGATTTTCTGATCTTCACAATGTTAGTTCTTTTTCATGTGTCCATTGATGTTCTTACATACAGGAAGAAGAAATTGGATAGGTAGATGGATCCAATATTCTATACATCGCAATGTACGTTAGTTTGCGATCACTTATACTCTCGATGATTCTATTTTAAAATTACGTACTGCTCGTTGCTAGAGGTTATTCAAACTGTTCCATACAGCACTTTACTACCATATACCGCGAAGAGAAAATTTAGTGCCGAAAACAGGAAATTGGAGGGAGGCAGAGCAAAACGAGAGAAAACACAAGAGTGAGAGGAGGTATGTTATGTTCTACTTTTATTATACTTGTTTTAAGGGCAAATCATGGGTTCGAATATGTAGAACATAAACGTTTGTTTATTTCTTAAACTTAAAGAATCGCCACCAGTGCATAATATCGCATGCATATATATATATATATATATCATCAAAGAAGAAGAAAGAAAAGAGAATAGATGAACAATACAGATATATATAGATGTCAGGACATAACACCCTACCCCATTGAGAAAAAAAAGACTTTTAGATACGAAGAAAAATTCTTTTTTTTTATAGAAAATAACAACATGTCTTTAACATCATATATAAAAAAGATACAGAAATGAATGGATGAAATAATGTAAGACTATGATTAACAGAAAACATAGAAAAGCTAACAACAGGAAGCAAAGGAAAAAGAAAATACGACCAAAAACGTGATCGAGTTTGTAACAAATAATAAATATGCTTGATCAATGCACACAATAATATTTTATTTTGATTTTATAAATCTTGATCGGATATCATTAACATGTTGAAGATTAATTAATGGTGTTGTTTCATTTCGTACTAATTGAGTAGAATTTTGTTTGCTAATAATCGATTCTGTATATACTTGATCGGGTTTTTTAATATAGCTATTGCTATTTTCATGACAATGTAAGCAAGTGTTTATATATTGGATAATAGATTGTTTCATATTTGGCCACCAGAACTTGTTTTTTAATTTCAAATATATACGTTGTATGCTGGAGTAATCTGCAATAGGATCAGTATGATAAACTTTAATAAACGAATCAATCATGGAAGATGGTGAATAAATTAATTTAACTTTAGTTAAACAATTGGCCTTAATTAACATTAATTTATATAACACTCCATCTTGTAATACATAGAGATGCTCGTTTGGAGTCTGTTTTAGTTCTTTAATTTTTTGTTGAATATGTGGATCTTTAGATTGTTCAATTTTTAATTGATTTATATCAAACTGATCTGGTTGTCGTTTGTGTATAGTTGGTTTGTTTCTTGGACATATAAAAATAGAACCGATTTGGTTACAAATTTTTTCGGCAACAGACGCCGTAGTCAGCGGTTGCATATTACGTTTCAAATAAGTTTGGTTAATTTTGCCTAATATTACTTTCGAGTTTGGATGAGATGAATTGTTTGGATTTTTATAGATTGGTTGTTTGTTAATGGTAGAAATATTCTTCAATATTAAAGTAGAAATGGTTGTTGTTCCCAAAATAATTCCTTTTGATAACGTTTGCGAATAACTTTTCGGATTATAAAGATAGATAAAAGAAGTATAATCATTAACAGATATTAATGAGCTTGATATTACTAAAGGTGTGTGCTGTTGTAAATTAAATGATGGTCGAAATAGCGCTCTATATGATGATAATGGAACAAAAACTGGAACAGAAACAGTCTGTTTTGGTTTAATCCGAATATTGTTAATCAAACGCACTGGTACGCGGAGTTGCCCATCATTAACATCAATATGTAATTTTGTTTGTTTAATCTTATCAACAATCGACATTGTTTGTTCTTCCAGATTAATATGTAATTTATATTTATTAATAAAATCCATACCTAATATAATTACAATCAACATATAATTCTTTAACAATAAAGGCTCGAATGGAAGTCAACATGTCACCCATTTTAATCGATAAGGTCATTTCACCATAAATAGGAAAAGGTATATTTCCATGGATAACAAATACTTGACGATGCATCGAATTAATAAATTGCTGATTACGTATGTTAAATAATGTTTTCATTGAAATAAATGTGTGAGTTGTACCCATATCTATCATAGCTTTCATATATTTATCATTAATAAGTGTTGTGATAACTAATAATGGTGATTCATTTGAAGATGGATTTGAGCTAATATAACAGGAAGCAACACCATCTTGCGTAGCTTCCGTTACTCGAAATGGCGACGGGTACAATCCCGAGAATAATGTCCAAGAGTACCACATGTATAGCAAATACTTGAAGATTTTTCTGATGTTGCATAACGTGACTGACTAGAATTAAAAGAATGATTATGACTTGAATTATTCTCACCATTTATATCAGAAAATTTTTGTTGTGGATGTTGAACATGTTCGCGTCCATCGTGTTCAATTTGTTCGTGAAGAGTAGCTATTGGTGATAATGATTGTTGACATGTATTAATATCTTGTGATTCATTATGTTGATTCACTGTATAATCATTTTTAATAAAAGATAATGTATCTTCTATTTTTCTTGCATATGATAAAAATGATTCAATTGTTTGTGGATCATATAAAGCAATATGTAATTTTAAAGATTCTTTTACACCGCCTATTAGATAATTTAACTTCATAGAATCAGACATATTCGGATCAGTTCTCATACATAATTCTATAATTGTATTATAATATTGAGTAATAGATTGATTAACTGATTGTTTATACCATTTTAATTGTTCAAAGGCTAATTCTTGTACTTTTGTTGATCCAAAAGCTTGTATAACAGCTTCAGTAAATGATGACTATGTTTTAATCGTCATAGATGATTGTATCCACCATCGATATGCATCATCTTGTAAATGTATTGAAATATACTGTAATTTTTCTTCATCATTCCACTTTGCCATTTTAAAACGTTGCTCCAGTTTATCTAACCAATCATGAACATCATCTTTTGAACCAGAAAAATATGTTGGTTTTTTAATAATTTAACCGGTGATTGTTCGTTGTAAATGTGATGTGAGTAAAGAACTAGAAGCAACAACTGACGGCATAACCGTTTCAGTGGGAGTATTACTTCGCACTGTTGATGATGTAGATGAAAATTGTTGAAGAAATAATTTATTAAATGATGCAAAACTGGTGATTAAGTCCATATGTTCTACATACCACAGATAGGCTATATCTTCTAATAAATATGGTAAAGCTTGAAGTTGATCGGATGTTGATAATTCATATTGTTTAAATTGTGTAACTGTCTGGGATAACCACTTTTCAGCATCACCATTGTCTGAATATTTAGTAAATTTATCATGAATAATTTGTTCAAGTTATGATTCATCTTTCATTTGTTGACGAGAAGACGTGTATTGTAGTTCGGAGCAGGGCTCGAAACGGGCCACTCGGCCCGGTGACCCGGCCCGGCTCGGCCCGGCTCGGCCCGGCCCAGGCCTGGTCCAGCTCGGCCCGAGAAGATCTTTATTCCGGGCCGGGCGGGCCTCCTCAACGAAGACCGGTGGGCCGGGCGGGCTTGAAATTCTTCCGGGCCGCCCGGTCCGAACTTTATTTCTGTTTTGCAAGGGAAATTTCTCACACAAGACAAAAAAAAATGGTTCTAGTCGACTTCTTCCTAGCTAAAGATCGATTAAGGTGGAATTGTCATCATTTAAACAAAATTAGAGTAACTAGTTAATTTTCACTTGGTTTAAATGGTGGTGGTCGTAAAACAGGTTTTTCTCGGGTTTTAAGTTAGGAACTAGAACCTCTGTTTTTTTCGAATTGCCTAGCTTAGCAGATCGTGATTATCACACTAGCCTAGACTTTGACACGTATAGCAGGCGTTAAGATGAACATCAATTAATACTGACTTGTCTAAGAAAAAATATCGATAAATTAGATTAGAATTAATTTTTTTATAAACAAGTGTCAATTAAAATGACACCATTTGGATCCAGTAAGAATCTGATTTGTCAGGTTCAAGAATAGATATCATTTGATTTTAATCATTCTTGATCAGTTTCTAAAAACCAATTTCAATCAATAGGACTTTATTATTCGACTAAAAGTCGATTTAAAATAGTAAAATCAAATGAAATCTATTTTTCATGTTGAAAAATTCATTTTCAGTTAGAATTAAGTGGCATCGTTTTAATCGATTTTTAACAAAAAAAATAATCGGTTTGTTTAAGTTTTTCATTGACATTTTTTTTACATGTGTTGTACATCTCAGAATTGTTAACGATCAAGAAGCTTCACCATGTGAACGCTTTGGAAATTTCATTTAGGCAATAAATGAAAACAAAGTATTTATTCAGTATGATAACACCTCATTCACAGAGAAAATGGAGTGAACTATTAACTGTATTAAGCCACATAAACAGTATTTAAGTGAAACAGTTTTAGCTGTATACTAAAATTAGCAGAGAAAGTAGAACAGAGAAAGTAGAAATATCAATCC